AAGCATGATATTTTGTTTTGAAAACATATGTGTTCTTATTCCGGTTATTAGCCTAGAATTACTATGTGATGCGCACAACAAACAAGTATAGACTAGATCGCCTAAGTTAGAACAAAACATCTCATGTTTATTTGAAAATGGTTTGAAGGTGTTACTCGCAAGTAGGATAAGACGTGGGTTTGCCACCCTCAAGTGGGCTTAAGAAAACATGATTTTGCCACTTCGCAAGTGAGCGTAAAACTCGCATTTCGATGAATTGTTCCAATTCAAGTAATCCAACCTTCACCCACAGGCATTCAGGCAGTTAATTATATAAGCAGTTAGCCTCATGGCAAGCATGCTATCATGGCAATCACTCACACACATGCAAGATGCTAAAGCATAAAAGCTTACCTAGTACTCCAAGCCAAAACAAAAGCTAGTTAGTAATCAATGCATGATCCTAGTTTATGTTAAGATGGCTAATGCAACACATGCAAAAATGCAACTAAAATAGGCTCGGCTATCCTAAGATGTCATGTGAATGCAACACTTGATAACATTTATTCAAATTAGTATTGAAATACAATGCAGTTTGTATGATGCACCAAGCCTGGTGCATGCAAGACAGATGAATGATACACGCATGCAAAGCATAAGTATGCTAATTGAAACATGCCCTAAAACTAACCATCAAAAGCGAGTAAGTAAAAGGGAGAAAGAAATGGGGGTTGGAAGACATGCATCATACGCACGCACGCTTATTACAACAGTTGTGCCCTCTCGACGGAGGGTCCGAATAATAAGCTAACTACCTAATCTAAGCTAAGCTACTTAATTAATCTAATAATCTAGTTAGACTAATTATTACACAACCAAATTGAATAACTAGCAAATACTAAGCTAATTATTACAGAACTTTAACTAATTAACAAATGAATTAATTAAATTGCACATTCATGCTAAGCGTTACAGTATGTGAACTAGGTTGCCTCAGCTCTGCCTTGAAGAAGTTGAAGATGCATGCTCGGTTCCAGTCCCGAAAAGCTCTCCAAATGCTGTTTAGAGGCTCTTCTTGCTGGGTGTCCTTGAGAACTAGCTGCTGGATCTCACCAAAACTGTGCTGAGGAGTGCACCAGTGGCCTATCGGCCATGAGAAATTGCTGCCGACCCCCCTGCCGACCAAGAGTGCACACTGCCGACCAAGGATGAAGGGCTGCCGACCAGAAATAAGAGGGTGCCGGCCACTGATGTGCTGGGACACCAAGTTGCAACAGAGCACAAAATACAGAAAATGGAGGGTCTCCCAAGGGTATGTACGTACTATGCCACTTCATATCACTTCAAAACATCAATGGAATGGGCATCATTGGATCCAAGACCATCAATCGCGCATCTCGATGCATGATGGCCAAAGATCCAACATGTGCAAATTCAATAAATGTATGACAAATAAGACACCAAGACCATCTCCTTATCATGAGAAATCAAAGGTAATTAATGGAGACCAAGGGAGATTAGCTCATTTCATCACTTCAAGTATGAAATGAGCTAATCCACCTTGTGTTCAAACACAACTCCGGGTTGAACACAATGCAATGCACACAAACAACATGACATGCAAAACTCTCATGCTAACCTTGACATGTTAAGATGGAATGCAAGACTCTATCATGCAAACACTCATGCACAACATGTTAATAGGCCAAGAACACCAAGGCTAGTGAAGAGGATAACACTATAAGCATGCATAACAATGCTCAAACATCCAAACCAACTCAAAATAGAGTTATATCCTACCCAAAACAGTGGCAAAACATGCTGAAATGGAGACTCAAAGGACTAGCCAAGCATGCACACATGTCAATGCAAGATTAAGGCACAAAACACAACTCTCAAAAGCAATGAAGAAGTGAAGTATATGAGAGTGTGACTACACTATATGCATTGAAATTACATGCTAAATGGTTCCATACCATGCAAACATCACATGCACAACATGTTAAAGGCCCTAAAACTCCAAGCTAGTCAAGGCCCTTTACACTACAATCATACTAAGCAATGCTCAAATGACCCTAACCATTCAAAACAGATCTAAGGCAGGTCAAAATAGTGGCAAAAACATGCTAGACTCACAGCATAGATGGCAAGAAAGATATGCTCATGTATTAGCTTATAAACAAGGCATAATGGCACAACTCTTAAACACAATTAAAGAGTGATAAACATGAGAGTATGGTAAAGATATAAGCTCTGAAATACCATGCCAAATGATGCCAAGGCATGCAAACAACACAAGTATAGCATGGTAGTGGCCTCAAAACTTAAGACTAGTGAAGCCATTTACACTATAGCTATACAAAACAAGCCATATATGACCAAGACCACTTAAAACAGACCTCAAGCATGTTAAATCAGTGCCAAAAATGTGTCGGAGCAAAGCTAACACATGCTAGAATGATGAACTAAAGCATGGAGCATGTTAGGCCAAACAAGCATAATTGCACTACAAGTACCAAAAGCATGAAAGCAATAGCCAAACCAGCCTAAAATAGAGTTATGGAAGGTCTGAGAATTCACAAAAAAGTGCTTGAACTAAGCCTCAAAAGGGTAGAAACACATGCTCAAGTATAAGGCCAATACGGCAAGGAAGCAAGACAAGAGGAGAGGGGACCACCTCCTCCCATTTTGGCCCTCAAAACCACCTTTTCACCACTAAAATTCCTCTGGAATTCAGTGGTTAAAGGGCCAAAAAGAGATGGTTTGAAATGCTTTAAAGGAAGGCAAGAAGCTTAGCAAATAAGCCACCAAAGAGGGTGAAACACCCCTAACTCCAAAAACACTTTAAACTACCATTTTTAAGCCTTAAAAAAAAAGGTTTTATAGTTGAAATCTAGGCCAAAATCAGTGTGCAAAGGTGGCCAAGATTGTGTACAAAAACAAGCTTAAAAGAAGGAGAAGCTCACCCTTGAAGCACAGCAGCAAACAGCCAACAAATAGCCACTTTTCTTGAACCAAAACCACCTTTAGTAGCCCAAAACAAGTTCCAAGGGACCTCAGCCCAATGGTGATCAAGTCTTCTTAAGGGTTGATAGGTTGAAGATGGTTGTATGCAAGTCTTCTAGCACAAAAGGGCAAGAGAGAGTGAACTGTAGAGAGAGAGACAGAGATTAAGCTCTGAAAATTGTAGAGAGAGAGGGAGTTTAGTGAGAGAAGCTCTCAAACTTGCTCAAGAAGTTCTAACCCTTCAATATGATAGATTTGGCCTTGATATATAGCAAAAACAAGAGCATGGGTCAAAAATATCCTAAAAGGGACAGCTGGAGCAAGCTAGAGCAAAATATCTGTCAAAATCTACTTTCTGGCATCAATGGCCGGCACCTTACCATTTTTGGCCGGTAGGGGGTCACTTTTGGACGGCATAGGGCCGGCATTGGCCATTCATGGCCGGTACACTCCCATAGAGGCCGGCAGCAAAAATCAGTCTTAGTCCCCAAATTGAAGCAAGCTTAACTCCTTCATCTGGATGCCTTTTCAGGTCATTCTTGTGTGAAAAATGAAGCCCTAGAAGTAAGATTTCCAATGGTGGCAGCCTCACATAAAAATTCCATGTGTACTAAGAGATATCCATCTTTTAGTGAAGACTGCTCAGTTTCGGTCCAACCGGATTGATGCCCAACTTCCAACAACCACATCTCCCCCATCCGGACTTGGCTTTAAGAGATTCTTGAGTGAAAAATGAAGCCCCGGAAGTCTTCTTTCCAACGGTGGTGGCCTCATAGCTGAAATCCAAGTGTACAAATGGATATGCCCGATTTAGCGAGGGCCGCTCGATTCTCTCTTAACGGTTCATGCCCATCTTCTTCTCAAACTTGGTTTCTTCCCTCTTCTCCTCTTTTCTTCAACTCCAAACCCCTAAACAAGGTGTTTTGAAGGATTTTCCAAAGATTTCATCTCTCTTTCATTCATTTACACTTTGTCCTTGCTCGGTTTACCAAAAAGCGCTACATTTGACAAAATGCAAGCGTCGGAACATCGTAGGAACTTCATTTCAAAAATATTTTGAAAGAGAGGATTTTAAGGTCTAAAAACCATTTAAAATAGCTTTGGTCTAAAATAGGGTGTGAGGTTTGGATTTGACTCTCCTCTCGCCGAAGAAATCGAACCTTTGCATTGCATAGCTTGCATCACCAAGTAAAAAAATCAGTAGTGCCCAAGTCTTAAGGGCAGTCAAAAATGAGGTGTCTACAGTTGGTTTATATAGGACTCTTCATGACTTTTTTTTAAAAAATAGTAGATTTACGAGGGTAAAATTGAAATTTCAAAAAAAATAGAAAACATGGCAAGCTCTTCATACTTTTATAATAGTAGTAGATACATATATCAGTATAGAAGTAGATATAGGAAATAAGAGAAAATAATTATTTTTTGTTCTTCAATCATCATCAATGTAAAAACTAGAGACGACTTTTTCTCTTTCTTTTTTTCTTTTTGGATAAGAATGGAGATCGTTTGTTTTTATTTATATAAGACTCTTGAAAGCAAATATATCGTTTTTTAGTGTTCAACTCCAAAAATAAAGAGAGAGTTGGTTTTTCATAGCCTTTATTTTTTCACATTTTTGATAAGTCATTTTTTCTACTTAATTTTTAAACTTGGAAGAACTTTTATAATTTTACTGTAAGATTATTTTACTGTACTTTCACAATTTCTCAATTTTTAATTAATATTATTTATAATAATTTATATTATTCTTTTATGTGTACTACTTGGCAACCCAATCCCCCCCTCCCTCGGGTGTAGTTCGTATTGCTATTGGATGGGAGAATAATCATGCTAATCTCCATTAGATACCCATGATGAATTTTGATCATCATATTTGAGAAAGCCAAAATATTTGTTAAAAGTTTAAGTAGACAAATATCTTTTATGGTTTGTTATCAGTATAACCCATGATATTAACCATCACTCCACAATGAAAGCAACATGACAGCTTTATATGTTGACCATTTTATTCCTACTATGTATACAATATATATTTCAATTAAACCGTTTCAAAATTTACAACATTATTTCTTCAGTTTGAATCCACTTATTCCTATACATTTTATTGACGTAGAAATGCTGTGTGGATCACATAATGTCTTTCCATTCCTATCTTACTCTCAGAACCCTTTGGACAGGCAAAAGATTTTGGGTTGACTCACCATTCAGTTGTTCGTCAATAGACCCATCTGCAAACACATAGAAGCCATAGTTAATGACACCTCAAAAGCAATACTTGACTACAAAAAATAGCTCTGCCATAGAAGATGTACTGCAATAGAAGAGTACAAGCATTTTCGGAATTTTAGTCAAATAGCTCCTATGCATTAGTTTATGCCCGCATTTGAGCCCTGCTCGACAAATCCAAAGAAAAATCACAAACAAATATACAGAGTCAAATAACAAAATTGAACACAAGACACTAACAAAATTTATATTTATGTCAAACCTTGGAGGCAATGAAGTATTAGTCTCTTTAGCATATCCTCAAACCGCTTCTATGCACAAGTTTTATATGCCAAGCAAGAGCATTCCCTATCAAATCCAAAATAATCATTACACATAGATATACCATATAAAAACACACTTGAAAAATTAAATTAAACACAACTGCTAATAAAAAATCATAGATTATTATAGGTTCATCAACTTCATTTTGGCTAATGAAAAATTGAAGGAAGACAAAATCGAAACAAAAACCAATCACTACAAACGATGTAATAATTTTTATGAACTTTTAACAAAGAGAGGAATTTTCCTTAAGAACTTTAATGCGGAAACTATGTACTACAAATGAGATTCAAAATATAGCAACCGATATTCGATTATCTTGTTTTTTTGCATGAGTATTCTACTAAACGAGTCTTCAAAAGTAAATAGTTCGGATTATTAAAGTCAGCCTCAAAATGAGCCTACTCCCATCTTCACAAAGTTTTTCAAACACAGAAAATAATTAACTAGTGCAAACAAGAAGAATAGGTTCTATGCAGCTTCCTTGCATTGGTGGATTCTTGCTACAGTAATTCAATAAAAACGTAATATATTATGTCAAGAACCTCTCTTTATATACAGCTTAAATGTGTCCCAGCCCATAAAAGAGTACTATGTTACTCAAAAGATCTGTATCCCAATTTTAAAACATGACACAAATCCATATCAATGCAATTGTAGAAAAACAATAAATGCATAGAGGGATTTAGGAGAATCTGCGGTAGATCTATCTTATCCATGCCTTGTCCAAACAGATATCATAAATATGCTCACTGCACTGTTGCAAATGCAAGAGTTTTTTTTTTCTGTCTCAAAGCAAACCTGTTTCTTACTAATCTTCTGGGCCTTTGCCTACTGCCAATCACAGTGCACTAAGAAGAGCTCCAGTAGCACTTTTGGATTTACGGTACCAATTTCATCCATAGGAAACAGAATATCAATAATTGCCTCGTCAAACACTTTCTGTAATTAAATGAGCTACATTACATACAAAAAAATGGTGTGAACAAAGCAAAAATACAAGAATAGATCTTGGGTACTTAGAAAACAAGCACGGCCAAATTAATTAACTCCAAACCCTTGCTTTGTTGAAAAAAAACAGGTCAGATGTTTGATTCGTGCATGTTGATATCGCATATGGATATGCACCGTAAATCTATAGACTGCATTACTTCCATGCTCTTTATGTATAAATAAGATGAATGAATAGTTCAGACATTGGAGTAAGTTTGAAAGGATGGAACTCATGAATTGATGGGGGCCCATACAAGCCGTTGTAAAGCATGTGTTTAATTCGATGAGCATTAAAAAAAAAATCACATCAAAACACCGATGGAGACATGTGAGGTGACAGTGCAGTTTTATCTGCATTTTCAAAAATAAAAAATAAAAAAAAGAACACAGAAAAATGGTAGGGGCAGAAGCAGAAAGAGCTAAAAAGAGGCCAGAGGACACCAGTAAAAGTTGGCTTTTGAGCAAAAAGCAGTGACTTCTTAGTTCTCTAACAGTACTTGTTGAGAAAGAATTAGTAGTTCTCAAGCCAGAACTATATCTTAGCAATTGAGAACTAAAAGTGCTTATGCATTAAAGGACCCTTGCAATACTCAATTGAACCTGATGCAAAGGAGGTATGGATAGTACTCCAAATTAAATTTCTGGTGATATGTTTTGTTATATTTTGAGTTCATTTTGAAACATATCTGTATAAAATGTATAAGAACGTTCAAATTCCTAAATACCAATATCAAATAACATTGAGTTTCAACTCCCAAATCAAATGAGCAGGTGCTAGGTGGCAACCCGGGATATCCTGACATTACGAGGTTGGTAGTAGGTGGGCTTAAAGGCAAAAGCATGGTCCAGCCAACAACTTTCATTCCAAAACAGGATTAGCAGCCAGTGGAGGTTATTTCAAATTAAACAGCTTTCTTGGCCCATTGTGAACAAAGGGCTTGTTTGATTAATAGGATTAATAGTGAAAAGATTAATAATCCCATGAATTAGTGTAAGATTAATTATCTAATTAAATTAGTGAGATAACCATTTATTATGTATTCATTTTATTTTATTTTTCTTTCATATTTGAAATTATAATCCTTTGCCCCTGTCAATATTAAAAATTCGTCAATTTCGTCGGATTGAATATCTATCATACATGTAATCTGATTAATAAAATTTACAATCAAATATGTGATTGTGAGTCCATGGACTAACAATCCCAATTCTATACTATAATCCTTGTAATCAAACATACCCAAAGATGCCAAAATTCCCAAATGCAAAAGTGAATTCATCAATTATAATAATGAAAAAATTAAGCCTATAAAGACACCATAAGTTGCACGAATGAGCCCAATAGCTAATTTGAGAAAATATTTATGCAATCAAAAAACACCTCGCGATCTAAGATAAGAGGCTCAGTTGATAAATTCCATGGCATTAGGTGGAAGGTCTGTAGGTCACCTTGTCTTCTCATATCCTACATTCAGATCCAGTGTAAAAAATTTCCTTCAATTTAATAATTGTGATTTATTTCTAGAACTCAATGTACAAATGTGCTCTACTAATTTCCCATTTTTATATGATTCAAGTGCGCCAATTTTTGTGTGTGTGTGTGTGTAGTGTAAACGCAACAAAGCTATAATACATGAAGTGTGTTGATCAAACAAAAATTGGAAGTAAAACGTGATGCACGTGATGCAAACAAGTGTCTTAAAGCTGAAATTATGTAAGTAATTGGCAAGCCTACAGTGTTTAACTTAAAGTTCATGTATGAACTACACAGGTTGACTTTCTATGTCTCCATTCGCACAATTGCACACACGCGTGCACACATGCATAGATGGAGGGAGCTGAAGTTCGTGCATGAACCACACTGGTTGACTTTTGTTGTCTACAAGCACAAAACCGCATACATGCATGCACACAAACACAGGGAGGGAGTCATTAAACATATGAGAAGTAAGTAAAAAGTCTTTATATTGGTTTCTAACCCTCCATGAACTGCCAACAGGGATGCAAGTCTAATGCATGTTGGCTTTTGTTGATGCCAAAACCCAAGCCAAACAGACCATTATCAATTCTCCAAACATGGGACAATAACTAAATCACAGGGAACCAAACTAAGGAAATTATTGGTTTTTGGCCTTACACATGAGAAAAACAATGTGCACTCATGGGCAATCAATTAACCTTCTATTATTGGATGAACATTTAGCTAACAAGGTTGGTCTAGCCTACTACATAACTTACTTGACACAGGGAATGAAAAAAAATTAAAAACAAAAAGGATAAGATAAGAGGTTGAAATCATAATCCAACCTAGGATCCCTACTGCATCAATCAGCCCATATGGGCTTCATACATAATATTTGAAGTTCGACAAAGAAAAAAGAAATTGGTGTATGGTTATATTGCAGCAAAACTATATTTGCTTTTTTATTGCTTCGAGACAAGACATGAGCATGGACCAAATTCGTTTGAACATTTTGTCAAACACATGGTGTGCAAAAAGGTGAAGAACAACAACAAATACAAGCACAGACAAAACTAAAGCAACAAATACACCACCACCAACAACAATAGCAACATCATCACACAAAAACTAATTGATGAAGAGAAAATTGGTACAGAACTTGATAAGAGCAAAAATAGTAAGTAGGACAATAGAAGATGCAATACATGTCTCAGTTTTTACAGCAAAATGGAAGAATAGCATACCTCTTCTCTTGTATTTCTTTGATAAAGCAACAATGAAATTGAACTCTTTAAACCTCTTAATAGCACATGACTTGAGCAAGAAGCTGGGGTGAATAGCCACAGACGCATCTGGAGTGGCACAGGTGGCACAATTTGATGACGACAACAACGGCAAAGAGAATGGTTTGTTGCAGAAGCACCGCACACAAGTCAACTCGTGTCAAAATTCTTGGAATTATTACAATATTTTCAAAATATTATAGGAGTCTTAGGGTATGTTTGGTTTGTGTTTGAGAGATGTGTTTTAGAGATAAAAAGTACGAAAACATGTTTGGTTTGGTTTTTTTTAAAAGATGTTTTGGAAAATTATTTTGAGATAGAGTTTTGGAAAAAGTGATTGATTTGATGTGTGTGAGAGAGAGATTTGTTTGAAAAACTTGTTTGGTTTACAAGTTTTGGGAAATTTTTTTGGGAAAATTTGTTTGGTTTGGTTATTTTTAAAAACTTATTTGTAGAGAAAATTTCCCAAATTTTTTTCAGAAAATCAAACCAAACGAGCCCTTAATTTTGGAGTGTCACCTATTTATTTATTTATTAATTATTATTTTTTTTTTATCCATACATTCTATCTGAGAGGTCGTTCAGGTCTGCTACTGAGAGTTGGTCGTAAAAGTCATCCCCATCTCCCATGGGTGGTTCATCGTACCATTCTTGGTCATTTTCTCCCATTACCGGTGATTCATGAGAGACGCCATGCTGATAGTTAGGGTACTGACTTTCATTGACAAATGTCTCTTTGCTGATGGGATATCCTGAGATGGCTAAATTACAATGTATCTTCTGATGTCTATCTTCACAGACTAGATGTCCATAATTTCTATTTTATGCTAATAGAGAGTTGCAAGCAAATTTCCTCCATTTATTGAGCTGATCTTTGAGTGGAAATCTTCTGCATGGCCAGGGTCTTCGATTGAGAAGTCCTGGAAATCCTGGGAATATTGAGGTTCCTCTGAGATACATTTTATTTTTGGCTGGATTGCACCATATTCCCTTCTACTCTGGTAATCTGCTATCTATCAATGCTTCTACATACGGATGATGTTCTTCCATTACACACAGCACTGCATGAGCAAGCTTATGTCCAAAGCTATCTGTCTGATCTGGTTCTGTGAAAATTAGTCTAGAGACAAAGTCGTAATCTAACAATTTTGGGGCTGTTAGATAACGAGTTTCACCCCTAATCTCTATCTCCAATGGCTCGAATGTAGCTAGATTTATCTGGCAAAGGCAAATGCTGAAGTCTAGGTTACACTGACATCTACCAAAATGTTCGGACCTCTTATTGCATTTTTCTTCTTCTAAGCAGGGCTGCTCTTCATCTTCATAGGTATAGGTCCATTGATAAGCTAGGCCAGGGCAGTCAACTCTTGCTATGGAGAGGTCTTGAAGAAAATGCTGAATAATGACTAACTCGCTATTTCTGGTATCTTCGGCTAAGGTGTAAATATAGGTTTTAGGTCTTCCATTACTTGGTTTTTCTCACAAAAAGATCGAATGATAGAATGCCTGAAGAAATACATTCTAGCACTCAATTGGTCAAATTCCTCACTGGTGAGTTGTTTGATTTCTGGGCTAGGTGAGTAGGTCGGTGTTTTTTCTGGAGCTAATTTTTTAAGCTGGTTAGTTAGGGTTCGAACGGTTGCTTTTAATTGTTTTTCTTCGTCTCGGAGCTGGTCTAGCTCTTCACTGACCTTTTTGCCTCTATTCATAATTTTCTTGAAGTTTCTGGAAAGGCCTTCACAATGTCTGCACATCTGAAGAGGATTCTGAGGATCTATCTGAGGGTTAGAACTACTACTGCCTATACTACTACTTCCAATTATTTGGCTAACTGGAACTCCACTGGTAGCAAGAATGGTTGACCTCATCTTGCTCAATGTGTCCAGGTAATCTTTAACTATCTGGCTAATAAAGTAACTGGTTCTTATTTGTCTTCGAGCATAGGTACTGGCTGATTCAAAATCATAAAATCCTTTAAACTGGGGTATAAAAAAAATTTTAACTAAGGGTTCTACTTCTATCCAGTCATGGTAAATCACGGGCTTGGTTCCTTTAGCTACTACATAGAAAGAAAAAAATTTTGACAAAGGTTTATTTTGGATCTTTGAAAAATATATACTGAGAGAGTTTAGGGCTGAAAGGCGTTTAGCTGGGTGGTTCTGACTGTTCCAAAGGTTATCTAAAAGACACTGTTGGACTGGGTCTAGGTCTATTCCTATTAATGGTCTGAACTTGTTTCTGCCTTCATGAATGGGAAGAGCGAATCCCCCAAAGTTCATGGTTTTGCTGTTCTCCATTATCTGCACAAAAATTAAACTGGTTATTTTCTTTTTCTAAATAAATTTTCCTACTTAACCAATCTGTTAACCTATTATCACTCCCTTTAATATGTTCAAACTGTACTTTATATCCTTGTCCTACTATACAGTCTAAAAATTTTTCCCATCTTCTAGTACTCAATTTACGCTCGTTAAGTTTATTATGAAATCTGACTATAGCTTCACAATCTGTTCTAATGGTAAAAGGTTTGTGCAAAAATAATCTAAATTTATTTATTGCATATACTACTTCTAGTAGTTCAAAATCTAGGCTGGTCATGGTCGTGTCTTCTTCTTTAAATTTTCCATAACTATATCTGCAAATGCGTTCTTTATTTTTACTATCATACTTACTAGGTTTAGCTAATAATATTGTCCCCCATCCTGATTGACTTGCGTCTGTTTCTACGACTATATATTCTGATTCTAAGGGAAGTTGTAGGTCTGGTAAATTTTTACAAATGTCTTTAATTTTTCTAACTAGAGTTATATCTTGTTGATTAAAATATTTTTGTCCTGTGGGTGTGGTCTTGCTATATAGAGGTCCTATTATTTTACTAAGGTTAGGAATATACATTCGTGCATAATTTAAGATTCCTAAAAAAGATTGAAGTTGTTTTGTATCTTCTAATTTATCTGGATATTCTAGAATTTTCTTGACTATATAAGGTTGTAACTTAATTTTTCCATCTCCTAACTCCATTCCTAAAAATTCTATATGTGGCTTATTTAATACCATCTTTTTCTTACTAATTATTATTCCATTGTTTATGAATTCTTCTAATGCTAAGTATAAATGATCTATGTGACTATTTTTATCTGGGCTGAATATTAATATGTCATCTACGTATACCAGTATAAAACTATATTTATTAAATATACTATCTATTTTACGTTGAAATATGGAAGGTGCATTTTTTAGTCCAAAAGGCATGACTAGCCACTCATAATGTCCCTGTGGGCAACAAAAGGCTGTCCAAGGTATGCTTTCCTTTTCCATTTTTATCTGCCAAAATCCTGACTTACAATCAAATTTGCTAAATATCTTAGCTGTTTGTATTCTATTTATGAGCTGATCATTATCTGGTATATTATATTTATCATCTTCTGTATTGTCATTTAACCTTTTATAATTTATAACCATTCTAGCTTTTCCTCTTTTTATCTCTGCATGATTTCTAACCATAAATGCAGCGCTCCTATGCGGACTATTACGAGGTCTAATTACTCCTAAATCTAGTAACTCCTTAATCTGTGTTCTAAATTCTTCTATATCTGCTAGCGTATGATCTATTTGTGCTGAGGTAATCCTATAATCTTTATTTTTTATGTCTAAGCTAGCTAAAATTTTATTTCTTTCCCAATATTTCATGGGCTATTCTCCTAGAATTTCTCTTGTTTCAGCTAATCTTATTATCTCATCTAAATCATTTTCTGTTCTTCTGTATACTGGTTTTTTCTTTAATTTTACTATTTTTGCAAAAATTAATTCTAGGTTAACTGTTTGTTGAAAATCTTCTAAATTCCAATAGTCTCCTTTTTCTTCAAAATCAAAATTTTCTAAATCTTCATAATTTTCTGTGTCTAAATTTTCTAAAGAAGTATTTGCTATTTCATCAGGTATATATTTTTTAGCTAACTCGGGAAAAATATTTCTACTAAGAAATAAAAAACTAGCTGGAACTAAATCTACTCCTATAGTACCACCACGCTTCGCACACAACTCTGATGAATGGGCTATTGTGCTAAGGGAATATGTTGTGGGTGTATGTACAGTTCCTTTGAAGAACATGTATCTCAACACATATTCAATGCCAACAATAAATTTGCATTTCTAAAACATCATTAACATATACAATATTAAAATTAACTTCTATTTTAAGGCAAGTTCTAAAATATATTTCCATAAACCAAAACATTTACAATGTTTTACAACTTAAGACATATTCCATACTCTTAAAGTTTATCAATATTACAAAATTCCCAATACATGTTTACACATTAACAAACAAGTCCGGATACTTTTCACGGACATCCAACTCACGTTCCCAAGTGGCTTCTTCCACCCCATGATGTTTCTACAAAATTTTCACCAAGGGAATGGTCTTGCCTCGCAAGACTTGATCCTGCCTATCCAAGACCCGAACCGGTCTCTCCTCGTACGAGATATCCTCGCCAACCTCCAATTTGGTCCAATCCAACATATGGGACGGATCCGGCTCGTACTTCCAAAGCATACTAACATGAAACACGTTATGCACTCCGGACAACTGCGGCGGCAAAGCCAAGCGATAGGCAACCTCACTAATCCTCTCAAGGATCTCAAAAGGGCCAATAAACCGAGGGGACAACTTCCCACTCTTACCAAACCTCATCAAACCCCGCCTAGGTGATATTTTCAGAAAAACATGATCACCCGCCACAAATGCCAAAGGCCTCCTCCTACGGTCGGCATAACTCTTCTGGCGACTCTGGGCTGTAACAAGCCTCATACGGATAAGCTCAACTTTCTCCGTCCTTTCCCTCATCAACTCTGGG